GAATTTATAGATCAGCAATTATTAAGAAATAATGTTTTCTTGAAATATTCCATCATCTTGATAAGCAACTCATAAGAATCTGATAAAAATATTAGAAAATTGCTTAGAGGTTTATAAAAGCACTCGATATTATAAAATTACTAAACATTTAAAATACATTTTGTTGTATTAAAAAATACTTGAATGTTTACTTTGAAGTATTATTATATTTTGTCATATCAATTAACCAATAAGTTATATTAAAAAAGGATATAAGGATTTTACTTCCCAATAAATTTTTTTTTTCTTTATCACTTTGCTGATCGCCTTGAATATTTCTATAGGTTTTATAGTTCAAGGTTCGAGTGCACATTCATAGATCAGAAAAATTTTCCTACTCTCCAATTCCTGGATTTCCCCGCAGTGCATCTGAGGGGGGATTGGGGCTTGGGGAATCGGACTCCAGCACGGACTGGCCATGGGAACCGGCCCAAAGACCGGGATCAGGAGGTTGGGCGCCCAGTCAACGGGGCAAACAATGAAGCGAAATTTTTGCGCTACGGCATCCTTAAGGCGCAATGTAATTTCCTGTGACAAAATACAAAGCTAATCTGCAGCACACAACGTTGTTGGAGGGACACGGAGTGGAATAAATTCGCCATCCTGCGAAACTTGACTAAAGGATTTCGGCGTCTCTGGTTGTTTGTGTGTGTCGAGTGTGTGTGTGTGTTTTGCAGGACATACGGGTGACTTCGATACGTGCAGCGAGCCAAGGGATTTTCCTCCTATTTTTCCTCTCTTCTTTTAGGGATAGAAGGCAGGTCAAGGCTTTAACTTCTCACACTTTCCTTGACCTGGCCTGAGTCGTTTGCCATTTGATGAGCAGCCAACAAATGCGCTACACAAATAGCCAAAGAAATTTCAAACTGGCGAAAATAAATCGAAACTGGAAGTTTGCTTTCCTCGGGATTTCCTCGTACACTTTTAGCCAGGTTTTCAGGGGGATCAGGTGGCAGGACATTTGTCGGGATTCCGTTTGATTTCTCAAGTGTAAACTGCGAAGGCAGCGTTGTCCGTCGCACAAATATCAATATGCCGAGCCACGAGTCACCTGATCCCCCATCTCACCCTGCGCCTCCTTTTCGCCCGCTCTCCTTGGGCCATAATTGAATGGAGTCAGGTGGAAGCCCCCATCCTTTGGCATCCTGCAAGGATGCATCGAAATCATCAGCAGCAAATAGGGCAAACAACCTGCTTAGGCATTCCGACTACGCAACGTGGACATGGTCCGTTCTCCGGCGAGGAGAATTCCGAGTCCTGATTTACCCAATTGTTGCCTGATTGACAGGCACATCCAATGCAATCGCTCCTGAGTCGGCGAATGCACAGTGGTTTTTGGCTGTGGTTTTCATATCCAATTTAATGGGGCCCGGCTCTCCGAAGGCCCACTAATGTGGCTGCGGCCCAACCCAATTCGGCAGATTCCCAAGGCATATGCTCCGCATGTTCTGCTCCTGACAGCTCAACGTTGCTTCTGACGGGCGGGCATCTCAAAATATTTACGAACTTGGGAGCCTGGGTGCCAGCATCGCACTCGAAACCAAAACCATAATAGCGTTCAGTTTGGAAGAGGCCACAACATTATTTTCTAGTCTATTCGAGCAGTAAGTATTTGTTAGTAAATGGGGGTAAATGATAAAAGATATAAGAACTAACTATCTTTTAAAATCTATCCAAATGTCTAACCAAAAATAAAAAAATTTATTCATATTTTTTGTCATAATAATACAAGTCTAATTTGTATTAGCATTTTTATGTGTCTTAATTTAGGAAAATACTTATAAAATTTAAAAAATGTTTTTAGTGCATTAAACTTTACCAATTCCTTTTTTCTTAGAATGCAGTTTTTTTACCTCAGCTTTTAATAAGTTTTTACTCGAAATAATGGTATTTGGATTTATTTTTACTTGCAATTTGTAGAATATACCTGAATAATTATCTTATATAATTTTTCTTTAAACTTCAATTGCTGACCACTTCCATCCAAAAGGCAAGAAATCTTTCAAACTGCTCTCGCCACCTGGCCATCAAGACTAGTCCATGCATATCCTGGCCAGAAGGAGTGTGGTGCGCCTGAAGGACATTTCTGATTGCGAGGCAACGGGAACTGGTAAATGGACAATTGACAGGGCCATTCTCGAAGCCAAACTCTGATCTGCGTTTTGTTTGCCTGTCACAACATGAGGCCCTTGTTTCTGTCATTAACGCCTGAATTCCAGTGGCCTTCGACCCATTGAGACTCATTGTGGCCAAGCGCAACTGAAGGTCGAATTCGAGATGCCGCATCCATATAGATAATCTGATTTTTATCCAGATTACGATTGTACAAAGCTTTTGTTCAAACACCCAAAAGGCCATCATGCCACAACAAACAAACAAGCAAACCGGGCAAAAAAACTTATTGAGTCCACAACATATTTCGGATTTGTTAATCCGCTTTACAAATAGTTTTTCAATAACCTTAATGGCTTTGTCGTTAGATTTTCAAAAACAAAGACACAAGCTTCAGTAGGAATAAAGTCACTAAGAGCTTATTTCGGCATAACTTTATTTTTTATTTTATTTGCAGCATGTAAAACAGAGCAGGGGAAATACCAAATTACCACATTTAATGCCAACAGCTTTTAAATTCCATATTTCCAATATTACTGCAAATATTTTATATGCAAAGAAATAAATTATATATCAATAAATTTATTGAATCAAACCCTCTCAACTAATTTTAGTGTAGCTCAAAGTACTTGGGATTTTCAAGTGCTTATTAAAGGATCACTTCTAAGGATTTTCTGTTAAAATGGCTATCAAAAAATAATTTAAAATTTTGGTGTCGCAACAAACATCACATTTCACTCTGCGGCTTATCGCCCCTTCGCTTAGAACATCCGGAGAAGTGCAAACTCGTATATCCCGTGACTATTTTGTGTGTGTGGGTTTTTGTTTTGTGTTATTTTTCCACAGTGCCGCGGCCTTTGGCTCGTTTGTACGGTGGCGCTGTTGCTTCATTATTTTGTTTGTTAACCCACAATCGTGAAGCACCTGGCTGGTTGGGAAAAACCAGAGACCCGCTTTTCCCGGCTTTTTCCCGATGTTTTCTATTTCTATGCATTCATGCATAATGGCTGGCAAACGTTTACAATGGCAACAGCATGGATTTCCGCACGTTACCATTTGCGGTCCATTTGCGGCAAGCGGTGGGTGGTGGATGGTGGATGGGTGGGTTGTGTCGGGGTCACCATGGTGCTGTTAGCATGATTGAAAAACGTGCCTCCTTCATTTCCTTTTCCGGTTCGGTCCGGGTGCCCTTACCCCCCTCAAATTGTATAGCATTTGCTGGCATTGTCGTAGGGGCTCCCGCCGTTGCCCTTGTCTCTCTTCTGGCCTTTACAATTACGTAATTTATTTTAACTGTGTCAAATTCACGACGATCGACAGCGATTATGCTGGCAAATTGCAACAATTCCTCTGCCCACCGAGTCCCACTCGCAATTTGTAAATGTCGCCGGCATCCGTCTTTGTCGCTGGTGGAAATCCTTTCCCCGGGAGCCTGAAGCTCTCGCAATCCGGAGCTGGGAGCTCGGAGCTCTCAACTCTGTCTGGCACTCACTTAACTGCAATTAACCGCAGTGTGCTAATTAATTTGCTCATAATTAATGCGATTATGTGCTGCGAACCAGCTACAAAACATCCCAGCTCCCTGGCATTCCTGGCATCCTGGCCCCCTTGGGTCACATCAAAACTTCAAACCGAAATTGGGCCATTTTCGGGCTGCTGGACGGGATTGTTGGACCGCTGCACTTTTGCGGTCCGGGTGGAAATCAAGCGAACTAAGTTCCTGCACAATTTATTAAGGACCCGGAGCCGGTCAATTGTAAAAGAGTCACGGGCATCCTGCATGCAGGCGGAAATGAGGCGAAATTGCAATCGGAAACGGGGCTCTGTTCGCTTTCAGTGGGTCAAGGCGGTCGGCGATGGGCGGTCGGGGTCACCAGTCAGTCGGTGGTCGGTGGTCCACTGGTGGATCTGAATCTGAATCTGAATCGCTATCGGTCCAGCCCCCGAACCAAGACCATTTGACTTCATAAAACGTCCCGCTGGGTAACGCCCTGTCACGGATACATGTATTCAGATGCCGCCAGGACGTTTGAAAATTTGTCACACAGCAAAAAAATAAATTAATAAAAAGTCTAGGAAATTAATGCATTTTTTCTGTCCATTTCTAGCACTTTTTCGCTTTGGTAAAAATTCCAGGAAAGGCACAAATATAGAGGTTTATATCAAGGACGATGAGAAACGTATTAAAACTTTAATATTTTCAATAATATCTTAAAAACTTAAACTTAAGGAGCTACATCTCTGATATAAAAATAATCAAACTATAAATTCCCAGAAATATTTGTACATTTTAAAATATTACTTGAGGTTCTTTTTATTGTGACTGATTTCTGGCAAGTACAAATATGTATCAAACACAAAAATATAATTTACGATTTTTGTTATAGTTTATAGGTTTAAATTTACTAGAAAACGGTCCTAAATATTTTATTTTAACAAATCAGAAATCATATTTTTCCATATTTTTAATCACCATTCCAACTGTTTCAGCAATCTGCCCAACAAATAATTTTTCCAAGTGCCTAGAAATAGGCACCCAGGGCAATTTTGTAGAAAACTAAGTACAAATTGGATTTGCAATTTGTATCTCCCAGTATAAACTATATATGCATTTTTTTGTGTGCATCGGAGCTTCAAACGCAACAAAGAAAACAAAATGGCATCGCAGCGGATGGCTGTCGGGTTCGTTTGTCAGTTAATGTAAGCGCTCTCGTACAAATGGCATTTCATGGGCGGGGCATTTTCGAGTATTTGCCCAGAGGATGGCAACAATTTTGGGGGCCAGGGCTGTTCAGATTTTGAGGTGGCACGGGTGGGTGGTATTGGGGGCAATGGGAAAGGGTACTTACCATTTAGGACATGGACACGCACACTGGCCACATCTGCATTGGAGGGCGCACAGGAGTATTTGCCCGAATCGGCCAGATCTGCATTCTGTATGAGCAGAAATGAGGTTGTCACATCGCCCTTTTCGGTAATTACCGACACGCCGCCTCTTGATGAATCATAATTAATGACCTGCAAATGGAGGAGGAGCTGCGTGAGTACATCGTACGTTCCGCGTGTAAAACACCCACTCCTTTTCGCACAATAATGCCAAAACAATGAGGGGACAAACAGCAAATTTCTTGTTGCGACGGCTGTTGTTCCTAATGTAATTTTTGACCCGCCTTAAAGCCTGCAAAAATGTGTAGATTAAATATGACTTAAAAATGACTGGAAATAGTAGCCTGATATCTTCCTTTGATTTCTCTCCCCCGCATCGCCGTGTAAATTATACATTTGAATTGCAAAATAATTCAACGTGTCACAAAATGCTGCCCTTGAATGACACTCGGGGAAATTGTGATTTTAATTGGAATTCGAATTCGATGAGTGTGTTTCGTGATTAAAGTCAACTCTCGACATCAAAGATCGCGTGAAACGCCAGGCAAATCAGGAGGATTTAAGGCTGCTCCCCATCATTATGGTTATTACTTTCTGGCAGCCATCGAAGTCGACTTGATATTATCGATTCGTGCAGGATGACGGCAGGTCCTGTCCCGAGGACTGGCTCTAACAGCAGCTGAATGCATATTAAGTCGCTCCTCCCGGCTGACAAAAACAAATACCGGAATAATTTGCCAATACAGGCAGGGCAAAGTTCACAATAGCACAGAGAGCACAGAGCTGACAGGGAATTGATATTAACACATAATGCCGCTGACGGGGCAAAAGACTTCGGTGGGAAAAAAAATGCTGAAAACAACAGCGACGGAAATGAGACTGCTCACAACCCTTGGGCCAAGGACCTCGGGCCAACTGTCAGAGGCATAATTCGCCATCTAATCCCAACTAATCGACGACATTTGCGATAGTTTGAGGAATGAAAGAAAAGTTAGCGTCGCTGATAATGATGACGATGGCTAATATAGATATAGACATCAGGAACCAGAGCAGGAAATTGGATGAAATAATACCGATTGCGGAAATATGTTGATTGCACGATTACATAGTTTATCAAGTGATAAACAAAACATAGAGGGTGACGAATAATAGTAGAGATATTTTTGAAAATGTAGTGTAAATTGTTATTAAATACAATTTTATTCTGTGAATTAATTTTTAGAAATATTGAAAAAATTTGATAAATATTTGAGGGATTTAAAAATGTGAATCGGTTATCTAGCATAGATTATTTATTAGTTATTATTATTTAGGAAATTTAGCTAAATTACATTTTTTACAATGATCAACAATTTTTTAAAAATTATTACTGGACATCTAAAGTTTTTCCTTATTTAATTCTCCAACTTTCCTCATGCTCTCAACCATTCATACCCAAAAAAGACTGGATATCAGTCATGAAAACAATGAAAATGGCACAAACTTTGTCGCCGAAACTTTTGGCAAGTGAAAAGTTTGCCTATCAGTCGGCTCACGATATCCTGACCCCATTATTGCTGACTCCAGCATAAATATCATATTTGTATTATAATATTTTCTGCCCCCGACACAAATTAGTTAATGAGCGTGGGGATGAAATGGGGGGGGCGCAAACATCAGCGTGCCGGAATAAATGCGAATCTGCATTTTGTCAGTTGATAAATTGAAAAAAAATAAAAAAAACATTCTGCCATTCGGAGTTTAAAAATTCATGGCATGCCGCCTGCAATTTTCATGACAACTGCAGCTGTTCCTGACTTCTTCAATCTGGGGGATCGGATGGGATTGCGATTGGGCGTGGGGGAAATGCTATATACAAAAGACACAAAAGGAAATAATAACACGGCAAACAATGGCAAAAAGTAAATAAAATATTTGTGTAAAATGTTTGTAGCTCATTGAAAATGCGCATATATCCGATTTATGTGGCACTCACCAACGCAATAATAGCCCGCATATTTCGAGCATAAAATCCAAAACCAAGCAAGGGTCATAAAAATCCGTACTACATAAAAGTCGCTCGGGGCCAGAGGATTTGAGTGACAGCAAGTGTAAAAAAGCGGACAGCCGATAGAAGGTACTTGAACATTGAAACAGGGCCAAGAAGTTCAGCTATAAGCCGAAGCCAAGGCAACGGGAAATGCCAGTTATTCACAGGAATTAGCCGGAATCCATCCGACATGCTAGCTATCCACACACATATGTCAAGAAACCGGCTGACCTCAGGTGGGAAAAATGGAAGTGGAAGTGAAAATATGCAACACGTTAATTACAATTAGCGAGCGAGCGGAAGTGCGGAAGGGCAAAAGGGGCTGCATACATTTCAGTCGGTTTCAGCCGCGGTGGAAGTGCATCAACTGGGTTTATCCATCCATTAAACTAATTAACAGAAAATTTGCATGGATCGTAAATAATCCGTGCGCACGGTGCTCGGAGCACGAAGTACGGACAGGACTTTACAGCAAAGCCTGCAGCAAGGACGCGTTAAGGTTCCTGCGGCCACTCATCGCACACACACACACACACACACAGTACCTTTACAGGCAGCAAAGGATTTTAATTAGAAAATTCCTGGAATACATTAAAATACGCCAAGTGGCTGTGCAAGAAGTGAGCAGCAGTTGTTGGCCGGATTTGTGTGTGCAGAGCATTTAACTCCGTCGTTTTTGTCCTTTTTTTCCAGGACCAACAGTTTTTTGTTGATATTTTGTTTGGCTTTTGCATTGCAATTAGCGTGCAACTGTGGCGGATTTAGCACTTTGCAATTAGCCAGCAGTGGCTGCTGCTGCTTAACTTGGCTAAGACAACAGGGCTAATTGGCAGCAGAGGAAGGACAACTAAGCAGGGGCTGAGACCAAAGGCGATCACAATTTTTCACTCACTTTTTTTGCTGTTTTCCTCTCCTCTATTTGTCAGCAGCGGTAATTTAAACATAACCCATCCGCCAGACGCCATTGACCCAGTTATCCCTCGCCTGGCACTTTCATTTGCATTTGCATGTGTGAAGGACGCAGGATACCGCGGGGTGCGTTGATTCACTCATTAAAATAACAACAGCTGACGTTTAAATAACGTTGACGATGGGGAGACGATGCCCGAATCTGATGAGGGTCTCGCAGGATCGAGAAAAGGATGTGGCGAGCAAGTGTCAGCGGAAGGCGAAAGAGAAGGATAACTTTTGCTGACACCCGGTGGCGTATGAGTAACGAAGTTCGCCTGCAGGGGATTGAAGTTTTCTGATTCGAGGAGCAACGTCCAAAAGTTGCGGATGACACATGTCATTGTTAAGCGAATAAAACATGGCTGATGAGGGCAATTAGAATGTTAAAGAGATAAAAGATATTTTGGGATGATTGAGAAATCTCTGCAGTTATTTTACATGGATTTTTGCCAATAAAAATAAAACTATTTTACTACTATTAAATACCTTTTAAAATGGTCAAACAAAATGGCATTTCAATGATTTCGCCCCTCAATCCTCGAGATTAGCCAACTCCAAGTGGTCACTTCTCGAGGACCGGAATACAACAATAAACTTTAATTACCTCCTCGTGATGATACCAAAAGATGTAGGCCGGTGGTTCGGGGCTGAACTTCACAGTGCAGGTGAGATTTATGGTGCTGCCTTTATCAACGTGAAGGTCAGGACCTCCCAGGATGGTGGCCGTGGGAACTGGAGACCGTTGGAACCGAAAAAGATAGAGAAAGGCGAGGAAAAGTGAGTGCATGAAAAAAATTGCTGTCCAAAAAGGAAAATAATCAAAAAAGTAAGGACGCAAGGTGGGCGATGCTCGTTGGCTGGCACTGTAGAATAATAAAGTACGAGATAAAATGGAATTATTGTCGTATAAAAACCAAGACCTCCACATTCCATCGACATCGCCTTTTCCTTGGCCGTGCATGTTGCTCACTCGTTGGCTGTGTGTAATTTATTTGTTCAACAACTTCGTTTTTCTCTGCATTTCGTTGGGTTTTTTTCTTACTTTGTCACCAGGCCGCCGTCACCGAGTGCCCTTTGTTATTTGCGACGACAAATGTTGGATTTTTTATGAAGCCCCGGCTCTGAAACCGAATCGGCATCGCAATCGGAATCCCGATCTGAGTATCCTGCCCCCTTTAAACTCACCTACGACATTCAGGCGAACGAAATAGCTGCGCACCGGCTGCGTCGATATCTGGCACTCGTACATCCCGGCGTCCCGCTTCTGGGCCCACTTTATCTGCAGGGTCCAGTCCTCGGTGTCCTGGTGATGGGTGGCCTGGAAGCGCTGGTCCGAGGTGTAGGTGTACGAGCCCACCGTCAGTATGTGGATGTCGCGGTGCCGAATCCAGGAAACCTGCAAAATTCCAAAGCAATCGCAAATATTTGTACTCTCGGCTAAAGGCTAAATCAAAAGGATTTCGAAAACCGGTAATCAACTTAATGGAGAGCTCGTATTGGCTGGGACAAACTAGTGATATTTATGAGGTTTATTATTTTAGAGAGTTTTATAAATTAAATGTGAATACTTTTGCTAGTAGCTTAGATAAATAAAATATATTCTTCCGAAAAAATCACCTAAATTACTTAATAAATAAAATAAGAAGCTAGAATCGGAATGGGAAAATTTAAAGGGAAATTAAGTTAATTAAAAAGGAAATAGTAAAATACTTCGTATAAATATATTAATGTCTTAGAAGGTATTTTTTAATCTGTCGAAAATATATATAACAAATATCTGATTTTATAGCATTAATGCGATTTGTTCTTCCTTAAACACTTCAACTCACATTCAATTAGGTAAGTTGCACACAAAACGATCGTAAAATCGCGCCATTTGTCTGCTCCTTGAGCCAGCGGCTGGCCCATTAAAAATGCAGCAATTGAAAACGAATTGCCGACGCAGTGCCATCAAAATCGAATAAAACGCCCGTCTAGAAGGAGCCAAAAAGGAGCGCGTTGAAAGGATGGCGATGAAAAAGTTTTGCATCTTTTTCGCTGGGCGTACGTGACGCATGAGCAACGTGTGACGAACGGCTTGAGTTTTCCGGGTTGGGAATCCCGGGGGATATTCCCAAATCTCAGCGGAATCTCTAGTGCTGCTGGTCGTGCTCGAGCTGTTTTGGCTTTGCTTAATTATCAAAAACTTTTTAAGTAGTTTGCGGTGCGCAGAGATAACTTTGTAAGCTGGCAGGGCGGCTTATGTAAACTTATTAAGTCAAATGTAAATGCAAAATTATCGCACTTGACAGCCGAGTACCCACATGCACCGCCGCACGTATGTATGGTAATTTCTCGCAGTGAAAAGAAAGCACCAAAAGCATCCCCTACCACCCACCACCACCCACAATGATGCGTGCGTTTAATTATACGCAATGTTGTTGCATACTTTCGAGGGCCGCCTTCAACAATTGAGTTTTCGGGCTAAGGATGGTAGGATGCCATGGTATATGGTACGGTTTGTTATGGGGCTCTGTTTTAGGTTCGGTGGCTCTGCCAAAGTGCATGCGAGAGTGCATAAAAGTGAGAAAACATGGCGCTCGCACTTTTGACAACTCCCGCACACTCGCAACGACAACGCCGCCATTAAACAAACATTTTACGCAACAAATTAAAGCGTAATTAACAAGTGCACGCTGTGCTGCATGCGGTCCTGTAATGGAGCCACGCCCCCGAAACCCCAAACTCCCGTCTCCCAAAGGAGGTGGACTCATATTAGCAGCCACGCCTCGGCAATATGAACAGAAAATACAGAGCGAAAAAAGGCACAAATCAATGTAAAATCAGTTCTAAAGCATAGGTTAATCAATTATTTATTCAATATTTATAAAAAAAATCTAAATTTATATTATTTTTATTGATGAAGATGAATTTGATAAAGAGATGTAAAGTTAAATTTTAACTGTTGAATAAGAAACAAAATTTAAAGGAATCTTCCAATTTAACTACAATTTTTACAACAAAAGGATGAAGCTTTAGAAAAATAATTTAAAAGGAACCGATAGATTTTTTGATTTTATATAGATGTTAACTGTGATAAATATTTCTGAATAATATTTTACTGCGATGTTAATATAAACAAAAATTAAAACAAGTAAAATGAAAATGCTGAAAAGCGAATATAATGTAAATTAATAGTTTAAAATGTGATTAAAATAAAAATTTCAAATTTTTGAATATGTTTTTCGTTTTTGATAATGAGAATAATCAGAATTCTTAAACATTTGTTTTCTGTGTTCAACATCAGAAACAGCAACAACAGCTCGACATTCCGCTTCAAGTTGCAAGTAGTGCCCAGTGGGTGGGGTGTTGTTGGGGCTTCCATTGAGCCACCAGGGTGGTGCAAATGGGTGCCGTGGTGATTTGGTATGGGGCAGGGCCGTCCTCTGTGGCGGCAGTGCAACTTTTGGCTTCGTGCAACTCGGACTGTGAGCCAAGTGCTGTTGACGCGTGCGGCGAGAGCAATTTCATGAAATTGTTTAAATAATTTCGCGCTCAAATGCAATTGAGAGGGTGGGCAAGGGGCAAGAGGCGGCAAGGGGGGGCAGGACTCAAAAAGGCGCGCCCACTTGAGGTTGAACAGTTGATGTATGTGTTAGCCGACATGGGTGAGTTTTCTGCGACTGCCACTCGTTCCTCTTTTGTTTGGCAAGAAATTAAAAGTTGCGCCTGCTAACGGCATCCTGCAACGCCATCCGCATCCGCATTCGCATCCGCATCTCCATTTCACTGGCTGCCAGCGGGATCCACATCCTGGTGGCGCATTTGTGTCAAGTGCTCGCGAGCGTGTTGAAAGTTTGTTGGTTTTCGGCATCGCATTTTCCCGCGGCAAAAAAGGAACGGAGAGTGTGAGAATTGGCAAGCATCTATATGAAAATTTTTGCGAGGATAATAAAGCATCTCCTGGGGCGCAGAGACGTGTGTCCCACTCATTAATCGTCTGCCACTGCCGTCTGCCTAATTATTCATAAACCTATCCGTAGGGCATATTAAAAAAGTTGAGCCCCCCGTTCAGTCACCTTTTTGACAATTATACACATTTCATTAAACACAATTTAAAGGATGCCCATCTGGGCTAATTAAATGCTACAAAATGCCTACAAAACACATGAATATATTTGCCGTCTGAATGTGACAGCGGGGGAGACTGGAGATTAAGCTCCAGGAGCAGCAGGCTGCCTACGGCCGACCTTTGTCTTGTGACCCCCTGCAAAAAAACGGGGAAAAACGGGACAGGGAGCAATTAAAGGAGATAAACAAAAGAAACAATTGCAAAACAACAACAGACCAAAAAACAAAGAGGAGGCAAAAAATGAAATTGCTAAATTTCCACAAGACAAAATAAAAAACAACTTGAAGCCAACTTGAAAGTCGTCTTACCGCAAAACGCAAACAAAAGGGGCGGGCCGTGAGGTTAAGGAACTAATTAAAAATTTCGCCGTCATGCCAGGGGAATTACATTTTGGTCTACGCGTCGTCGACCAGGTTAGGAAATCAGCCAAGAAATCAACGCGAGAGGCGGTCGCAAAAAATAAAAATTATTCCGCGCATGGAGAATAAACGAAAGTTGGCCCAAACTTTAATGGCAGGGCGACTCGTTGTCGTCACGCACGACAACAAACTTTTCGACACGACTACGCTGTTAGCCCCGAAAACCCCCCACAAAAACAGTCAGTTACAGAAATACACTGAAAAAATCACCACCTTTTTTGTTGAGATTTTTAAACCAAATTGGAACAAAATATCAAGTTTAAGCAGTAAAAGATCTAGAATCTGCCTGTGGGGGTTTCCGTACCTAATTTTTTGTTGCATACTTTTTGAATACCAAATTTCCTTTAACTTTTCTATTATCTTAACCAAAAGTAAAAGGTTTTAAAAGAATATGTTGATGTTTTAAAAGAATATGTTAATATTTAAAAATCTTATGGATCTTAAAGGATTTATTTAAGTTTGATTAATATTTTAAGGATTGGCTTTCGTAAAATAGGAAAAGTTAGTTGATTGACAGACTAAAGGAAGCAAAGTGTTTAAAAAAATTCATTCCTATTATGTTTTCAAAACTAATATATTTTCTTCAAGTGCTCCATCTTTAAGCCAAAACTCACCGTTTTGTTGGCCAAAAAAATTCATTCCTATTATGTTTTCAAAACTAACATATTTTCTTCAAGTGCTCCGTCTTTAAGCCAAAACTCACCGTTTTGTTGGCCAAATTGCGCACACGGCAGCTGAGATAGGCGGACTTGCCCATGAGGGCGGTGACATTGCGCGGCGTCGAGGGATCGAAGTAGGGCTCCATCCATTTGGGATGGGTGTAGGCGGCGGTAGGGGCGGTGGGCAGGAGCAATGCCGCCTGGCCGGGGGTCGGAGTGGTTGTCAGCAGGTCGTCCAGCGAATTGTAGCCCTCGATGGGTCCCTGCACACCGCCGTTTGTCATGTCTGAAAATGGGAGGAAAAAAGCCGAGTGAGAAACGGTGAATTTCGGTGTGAAAAAGTCAAAAGCTGCAAATAGACACAAATGCACCTAAACCTAACACCCCGGCACATGTAGATTTATGCAAATGTGAACCTTTTATCTTTGTGCGGCTCACCACGAAAATATTAAAAACCCAAAGTGCAGCTGTTCGCAAGAAATTCGTGTGGCATGCCAGTCGCACACAAAATGACATTTACATTCATTCAGTCACTCGGATGGGGAAACGCCCCAAAAAAGAACCCTTGCACGCTGAGTAACACTCTTTCGGCTGCAGTCAGTTTTGTGGGGTTAGAATAGGTCGGGTTCGGGTTCGAGCACCGCCCCAACTTTGCTCATTAAAAGTGCCCTGTTGCTGTGCTCTGCGGTCGAAAGGTGAATCCAAGTGGCCCCGGGCCATAGTATTAGGCCTGTGAGCTTTTATTCTTCAATGAAGACCGAGGGTCCTGAGCAAATGCATTCACTGAGGGAAAAAACCCAGTCTAAATTTAAGAACAAAGTTCTTAAATTAAGAAATTTTGGTTCTTAAATTTTGTTCTTACAATAAGAACAAACGTACTTAAAAAAAGAGCAAACATTCCTAAAATAAGGCAATTTTATTCTAAGATTAAGAAACTGTTGTCCTAAAATTAAAAAATATATATTGTATTTATGAACTACAAAAATTATACATTTTTTGTCCAATAATCTACGAGAGAAAATTAATTTAAAAAACCAATTTAATATAATAAAGAAAAGCAAAGAAGTAACATTTATTTAGACAAAAAATCATGGTTTTTAAAATACGATTCTATTTTGAGTTCTTGAGATTTTAAAAGGTTGATACAGTCATAATACATTACAAATCTTAAAATGTTAATTTACTTAAATACGCTTAATTCTAATATACGATTTTCCATTGTTTATTGGGTGTACATGTAAAGGAGGGCTGAGAAATTTATCAATGCTTAGAATTTCAAATTTATCTGTTGCCGCGCCAACTTCATAAGATTGGAAATGACAATTAAATGCATTTAAACTAACAACTCTGCTCACAACATAAATACATTCATTTTCCAAGACAAACAAAAATATTTTAAATATTTGGTCAGGGTTTTCGTTTTTAACTAAGTAATTGTTGCTTTTATAATCCATACCTTTATATATTATTGAGTTGCTTAACTGAGCATTATGTAAATTAAACGGACAATCAATTTTACTTAAGCAACTTTCAATGTCGTGGTTAAGTGGTAATGTGTTTTTTATGACAAACAGTGTTTCAACAGAATTCTCGAGTCTTAGTAAAAATTGACAAAATTTAATACCTGACTTAATTGCCAAGGTATGAGGGGGATTAACCCGCGATGTAATATTTTGAAAATAAATTTTGGCTTCCTTGTGCTTAGCTTCGAATCGCATGCACCACAAATATTTTAGTGGACCGCACATACGAATAGCTCTGGGATAATGCACCATAAAATGGTGCTTCGGCTTTAAACTTCCGTACAACTTTATGTAGCCTCCGTGATGCTTTTTAATTAACATTTTTAGTTTTATTAGGTCCTCTGTTTCAAAAGTAGATTTTCCGAGTAAGTCAATTATATCCAGCAATGTTATTAAAATTCTCCAGTGTTTATTTCTGGGTGGAACCAAGTCACCGATCATTAATGGCAAAAAATGAACAAAACACATTAGCTCACTGGCAGTCATCCGTAAATTACAAGATTTTAGTCTTCTTATTTCAATATTCGTTGAAATGTTTCCAACATTAATTTCGCCATATTGGAATAAACGCTTTCTTGTATTTAGTTGATCGAGTGTAATGATATTTTCATTTATAAGAGATAGTAAAATGTGACAGAGATCGTAGTTGCAGACTCCTTCATAAACATCGTGCATTATATCGAAGCAAAAATTATCGGGAACGTTAAAGTAATCCAAGTTTTCAAAAACGCAGGAATTTTTAATGCCGGTTTCTTGAAAGTTTTGCTCTGACAACATCTGTCGATAGTTCTCGTTGTTTCTCAAAATCGTCCTTTTTGAATAACGTCGTATCTCATTTGGGTTTTGGTTCGTGTACAAGATCTACAATACTTTGTTGCATTGAAGGACTGAACATACCCTAATACACTGTTTACTGCCAAATTATCTCCTACAATTAGGATAAGTAGAAAATGTATTTTTTTGTCTTGTCCGTCTATAGAAAATTCCATTCCATTTTCTAGCAATTTAAGTTCCTCTACCAAATTATAAAAGCAATTTTCATTCCCAATTTCCTTAAGATTTTCTGTGGATACAAAAGCTGCGTGAAAAATAAAATCCAATTTCGATAACAGGTGCTGGGGCATCGTTGGAAAATTCAAGTAACAACCGCAAATGGAATATGTGTGGGATCCCAGGGGGTTATTTATTTGAAAATCGTCCAAATAAAGGACATAAGGAACAACTAAACTTGTCCCAAATTTTGATAATTTGGATTTAAATAGTTCACCGCTCGCTAAGTTAGTCAGTGCACTATTGGACGCATAATTTTTAGCATTTTGCAAAGTTTGCGACAAAAGATTTGAATTCTTGAATATAGACCTAATCATAAATTGTAGTGGCATTACAAAGATCTCGTCGGTTTTTGTGTCTAAGGTAGGATTTCCTTGTACATTAATTGCTGCCAGTCTTTGGTTAATGATAAAGGACTTTGGTTCCTCATATAATTGCTGCTCCTTTAACATTTTAAAAAGTTTATATTCGGTTCCAATTTTGGCAAACGGTGACTCGCAAAATTTCAAGATATTATCCATGTTTTGTTGCTTGCCTTGATTAATACATTGCCGAATCGCTTTGGCCATTTTAAAGCAAAGGGCTGTTATCATTCCTTGAATCTCTGTCACATATTTTTCTTGGCATCTGATTTCGAGATAATAAATCAATGGAAAACATTAACGCGTCTTTCTCCAAATCAGTTATGATATTAACCTCGTCATAAGCATCAGTACTTACATTTTCAATGCTTTCAAATGACATGGAGGTATCATTTTCAAAGATATCATTTGGTTGATCTGCGGTCCTTGCTCCCTTCATATATGGTGAATTGTTATCAACGTCGGGTTGATTCTTATGCTGGGTATCCAAATGCCTTTGAAGTGCTGAAAAGTTTGAGTGCAGCTGATTGCAATTTGGAACAATACATTGTATTGGAAAATCAGTCAATGTTATAAAGTGATCATACTTTAAATGATGAATTAAAAAGTTTTCCGCTGGAAAATTTGTTTGAGCACCTGAAGCAAGCGTACATGATGTTCCAAGGTAAGTAATAATATTCTCTAAAATAAAATATAAACAATAAAAACTTTACATGATTTCTTGCGTACCGAGGGCAGAAATTGGGCGTACCTTTAAATTTTGAATTTCTAATGCCTGCAAGTAACGTCTTCGTTTCTTAAATTTCGTTGATATCAAGCTTGTTTATTGTTTCCGTCTTTAATGTTTTCGTTGTATATGTGTGTACGATAATCAAAACAAAACAGAAAAGTTTCGATAAAATTATCGAATATCGGATCCTATTATCGTAATTTACTAGTAACGCGCTTCAATAAAAAGTGTACACCAATAAACAAATGCTAATTAAATATTAATTAAAAAATGTCCACCTTTTTTTATTTGCCTTAAACTAGTTCTATTTTTAACATCGATGTCTTAATGGATATCGATGATTTAACGGATGGTCACACTGAACCATTCCCAATTGTTCGCGTGCATGACTGGTTGTGAAATCGAAACACAGTGCTTGTTAAAATGCGGCTAAAGCTAAAAGAAAGCGTATAATCCTTTCGGATTCGGAGCCTGAAGAAAACATTGAGGAGGTGAAGGATCAAAAGAATACAGCTGACCCGGTACCGTGCTCAACTTTTGAGGTTATGTGCCTAAGTCCGGCCTTACCCGAGGACTCAGACAAAGTTAAGCTATCTAATTTAATGAAAGAACTCGGTATGGAACATTTAATGCAATACTTGATTGGTAAGAAAAACATATAAACCAGTCGTGGCCAGCAGAAGCAGCACTCCCGACCCATGGGCTACGCAGTTTTTCTGCCGCTGCGCTGTTAGCGTTTCGACATCCACGTTTCTCTGCTTAACAGCGTCGAAAAGCTATCAGCGCAGCGGCCGAAAAAACTGCATAGCCCATAGGTGATATAAACAAAATAAATGAAAAGAATGTGAAGAAAGGAAAACACTCCAGTTGCGACAGTGTGTGTATTAGTATTTACATATGTACGCTCACATTTTTTTTCTTCTCCCTTTGTTGCTCCGCTGATTAAAGTTAAGCTAATTTTTATTCCTTAGATGCAAATATAACATTTGATTGTTTAAAATACATGGACAGGGACGATATTAAGGAAGCAATTCCACCACTGGGTCCGCGTTTAATTTTCAGGGAAAAACTGTTTGAGTGGAGAAAAACTTTTGTAAGTATCTTAATTTACAAAAAAAACAATTGGCATACATTTTTAACTCTTATTTCTTTTAAGTATGAAGCCAACGAAAACTCTGTTGAGCCTCCACTCAAACAAAATGAGCCTGTCAAAATCGAAGAAGACCAAAGTATCAACAGCAGAAAATCCATTAATTATAAGGTATTATAGAGATTTAAGCCAAGTTTTTTAATAATATATGTGCTTTAAATGTAGGACTTGAAAAACTTAATTATGGAAACATCTCGAGGAAGACAAATCTTAAACTTCTATGAAGCAAACAACTGCTTGACTAAGGAAAAAAGAGACATTTTAATAAATATAATTTTAGAAGATGCCATTGCAACTAATGTTATATTAAAACCGTTTGACATGGCAAACATAACTAATGATATTGTCTCAATATTCCCGAAGGAGAAAGAAATGATGGTATGTTTGATATAGATTTATGTATTAAATTCATATATTTTTAAATTCATTTATATTTTCTAGGATTACTACTTTATACCAAGAAGTGGCAAA